GAGGAGGGGGAAGAGGAGTAAGATGAGGAGGATGGAGATAATCGGATCAACGTCTGCAACGGCAATGCTAGAGATGCTTTCGACATTGTTCCACATTAACGCGTGATTCACAACTTTTTTAAACCGGAACAAAGGGCAGACTGCTGACATTGATGACAAGGTTTCTCGTAGGGTGGTCAATAACACCAGAATGAAACTGCGGTTCCATCTGTCCATCAAGATGGATATGAAATTTAAAATATCACTGCTACCTGGAACATTTTTCCTAGTCGGTTGCATAGGCATTTGTGCGCTCTAATGTTAAACATCTTCCATGATACTGACAAGCTCAATATCATTTATGATATGGGAAAATATAGTAAGGATTTTAGCATTATTCATTAAAAGGGCTATAAAATGTAACTGGAGAATGAGCATTCTGCTAGTCAAATGCCCATCTGTAACTTAATTAATCCTGATAGACAATTTTAGTCATACAGCCGTCACCTGAGCCGGTCGTCATACGGACTCTAGCGATAACTGTTATGTTTAGTTCAATCACCCTCGGAGATCAACAACAAGGCCTTCATACTGTTTTCTCAAAAGGGGGTAAAGCGAGCTCATGGGAAATATGTGGCTGCGGCCAATAGCTTAAGATAAAATATTGGTCAGCCTCACGTAGGCGGAAGGACAAGGATTGAGTCACACGCGACAAACGTCGAAAGATGCAGAAGTTCATGATCGTTTTTGTCATACCGGTGAGTATATGCATCCACTTCCTGAGGCACAATTGCCACAATCGGTCGAAAAGTAATTTACAGACCAGAAAGGACATTTACCGGTGAGCTGACATACTCAGGCGGCTGAGGTATCGCAGCGGAAATATGTAGATACCACTAAGCATAAGTATCGATAAAAAGAAAATTTGTGCTTCTTTAGGTAAGTTTTGCTGTCTCCGCTGCATATTCTAGCTTCCTTTTCATGACCGTTTTGTTTTTGCAGACTAACGTTTAATTATTTCAAGGTGTATCGGTTGTGAAAATATGCATTGGTTGTTCGCTGATACAGCGTAAGGATTGGGAGTCTTGCCATGGCGCATCCTGTGATCGATGTTGACAT